GAGAGAGAGAGAGAGTGTGTGTGTGTGTGAGTCCATAATGAGTCCAAATCCAGTATTAAGACGTTTTTAACTAAAATACATATATAAGCCATAATAACGCTTCCTGCAGTGAAAAAGTGCATCTGCTGTCATCTCTCACATCAAAATCCAGCCACATATGTGTTTAGAGCTGTTTAAACGCTGCTTGATCTGTGCAGATTTCTCTCCTGATTCACACCAGAACACTTTTTCACGTTATTATGGATTATAGACTCTATGTATTTTAGTTAAAAAGGTCTTAATGCTGGATTTGTTTCAGCTTTTGTCTTCTCCAGATGTTAACTGATGGACTGGAGTGCTGTGGATTATTGTGATGTTTTTATCAGCTGTTTGGACTCTCATTCTGACGGCACCCATTCACATCCATTGCTGAGACACTGATGCAGTGCTACATTTCTCCAAACCTGATGAAGACACAAACTCATCCTGACGGCCTGGTGGTGAATTTTAATTTCTGGGTGAACTAATCCTTTAAGGCAGTAAAACTAACATCCATCACTATACTAGATCAAGTCCTCAGTATATAGCTGAAGCTCAGACATTCCTTCACCTCTCGTCATCACAAAACTGTCACAAACATGATTCTAGTGGGAAAGGATGTGATTCATTGCTGTTTTGCGCTCTGAAAATAGCATTCTCAGAACTAACTCACTTTTCTCCGTTATGTTTGTAGTAAGCTGGTGTTTAAGTGATTTTAGAGGATGCACAGCCTTTTACAACCACATTTCACACCAGCAAAGTGATAGAATAGTTTTTGGACTACATTTTCGACGCTAGACTTTATTGTTATGAATTCAGACTGCACAAACTTCAAAGGTTTTGATTGTGAAATGTGTTTGTGTATCTTGTCTTCAGTGAATGGCCCCTGATTAGATGTGGCAGTATATCATTCAGCACAGGCAGGATTACAGTAGGGGCGGGGCCTGCGTCTGTCATGGGGGCGGGGCCTGCGTCTGTCATGGGGGCGGGGCGTGCGGTTGCCAGGCGCTGGGTCACTCGTGTGGGAAGTGCTGAAGTTTCAACGCGTCACAGCCGCGTCACACACGGATCACACGCAGATTGATCGCGTGAACGACGCGTCCGGCGGCTCTCTGACGGCTGTGAGCCGAGTTCGAGTCCTCCGGTTGATAACTCACTACTCTAGCCCGTTAGCGAGCGTCTCTCACGCGCCCGCAGCGCAGCTCTCGGATATTAACTCTTCTGATCGAGCTGATCGATCAGCCAATGATCATGGAGAGGAAGAAGACGGACTGTCCGGCGCTTCCACCCGGCTGGAAGAAGGAAGAAGTCATCCGGAAGTCCGGGCTGAGCGCTGGGAAGAGTGATGTGTATTATTACAGGTGAGTCTTTTTATTCATTTGTATTTTTCTGTATGTTCGCGTGTTTGTTTGAAGCGCGCGCGTTGAGGCGTTACATTGTATCCAGAAGCAGCGCTGAACTCTCAGGAGAGATACACTGTAACTCCTGCGCCGTGACGTCACTGCAGTACAGCGCGAGCGCTTCCTCTGAGCGTCACCTGTTGAGTGCTCGGCTTTAGACTCCGAGCTGTTATTGCTCATTATTTATGAACAGAGACGCTCAGAATACACATCTGTGTGTGTGTGTGTGAGAGAGAGAGAGAGAGAGAGAGAGAGAGAGAGAGAGAGAGAGAGAGAGAGAGAGAGAGAGAGAGAGAGAGAGAGAGAGAGAGAGAGAGAGAGAGAGAGAGAGAGAGAGAGAGAGAGAGAGAGAGAGAGAGAGAGAGAGAGAGAGAGAGAGAGAGAGAGAGAGAGAGAGAGAGAGAGAGAGAGAGAGAGAGAGAGAGAGAGAGAGAGAGAGAGAGAGAGAGAGAGAGAGAGAGAGAGAGAGAGAGAGAGAGAGAGAGAGAGAGAGAGAGAGAGAGAGAGAGAGAGAGAGAGAGAGAGAGAGAGAGAGAGAGAGAGAGAGAGAGAGAGAGAGAGAGAGAGAGAGAGAGAGAGAGAGAGAGAGAGAGAGAGAGAGAGAGAGAGAGAGAGAGAGAGAGAGAGAGAGAGAGAGAGAGAGAGAGAGAGAGAGAGAGAGAGAGAGAGAGAGAGAGAGAGAGAGAGAGAGAGAGAGAGAGAGAGAGAGAGAGAGAGAGAGAGAGAGAGAGAGAGAGAGAGAGAGAGAGAGAGAGAGAGAGAGAGAGAGAGAGAGAGAGAGAGAGAGAGAGAGAGAGAGAGAGAGAGAGAGAGAGAGAGAGAGAGAGAGAGAGAGAGAGAGAGAGAGAGAGAGAGAGAGAGAGAGAGAGAGAGAGAGAGAGAGAGAGAGAGAGAGAGAGAGAGAGAGAGAGAGAGAGAGAGAGAGAGAGAGAGAGAGAGAGAGAGAGAGAGAGAGAGAGAGAGAGAGAGAGAGAGAGAGAGAGAGAGAGAGAGAGAGAGAGAGAGAGAGAGAGAGAGAGAGAGAGAGAGAGAGAGAGAGAGAGAGAGAGAGAGAGAGAGAGAGAGAGAGAGAGAGAGAGAGA